TGAATACTTGATCACTATTAAAATTGATTTGGAGAGTATAGTTGAGATTGAGAGAAAATTTTATACAATAGCTTCAAATAATATGTACTATGAATTGAACGAAAGTAAAAACTTCACTAACGTGATTTGTATAGCATTATTGATAAGTGGACATAATTTTCTACATAAATTGGGAAATTTCACAAAATATAGTACATTTTTGTCTATTTAAATTTATATAGAGATGTAATGGTTAATAGGTGATGATAGATTTAATTTAACATAAGAAAGCATATCAAAAATGATAGAACATCCGACTATCATATGAGCAATATTTTGAAAGTATAATAGTCTGAAATCTATGTTGGTTGGTTATGGTTAAATCAAATGTCTTAATACATTATATTTTGTTTATCTTCATTTTAATTGTTACTTTCTTTAATTGTTTTTAATTTTAAAAAATTTCTTTATATAAATGTAGAGACCAAACTACTAAAAACTTGAGTTTAAACTTTTGAACACCTATGGATCTTGGCTTGAAGAGTTGTTAGGTGAATGGTGGGCTTTGACTCAAGTTGTTGCAACAACAAACTTAAAATATATTCTTACAAAAAAAAAAAAAAAAACTTGAAACTAATTTACATTCCAATCTGCTAGATTGTGTCACCAATGTAACAATCAAGTATACTCCTACAACAAACTACTAGAATTATTGGAACACACCACCGAAAGAAGTTTGTAGCCTAATTTTTATTTTATCAATAATTGTAGTGACATAATTAGAATTGGATTTTATATTGTTGGTAATATGCAGTGTTGGTTAATTTAAGTCTTGAATTATGTTGTGAATATGGTGTATAGTAGAGATAAGCCATACAAGTAACTAGGGCAAGGCAATATATGATTTGTCAATTAAAAGGATGGAAATTACAGCTAATGAACTTGTAAAGAAGGCAATTGTCTACAAGATTTTACTCTAGTAATGTATGCTTAAATTTGAATGACATCTTCCTTTCTGATGCTAATATTGGCAACTAGAGTTATAACGCACTACATCATCATTACACAATATATTGACTAATAGAATGCCAAAGTAGAGTAAGGACATGATGTTGTATTAGAGAAGTAAAGGTTGTTAGCAAATACAAACTCAATATGACTATTATTTCGATAGAAAAGAAGTCGCCTAACTTGTAAACCAAAACCATAGGGGAAAGTTTATTAGAAGAAAAAGCAAAAAAAAAAAAAAAAAAAAAAAAAAAAAAGAAGAAGAAGAATACAATTGATGAAGAGGTAAAAAATAAAGAGAATAAGTTGAAGACATTGAAGGTAGTGGAGCAATAAGAAAAATAAATAAATTTTTTGTTCATTTAGGCCTAGACCCAAAAAAGAAAAAGAAGAAAAAAATGATTTTGCCTTTCTCAAGCGTGTGTATGTATATACCAATTTGAAGTTGGACTTTCATGCACATTAGAAGTCTAACTATATATATGTGTATACCTAAAGTTGGACTTCTTGTAACACCTCATATACTTTAGTGAATAGATTAGAAATAAGAGTCCTTTATTTTATAATTTTAGGGATTAAATTGATTAGATTTAGAGTTTGAGGGTTGTAAGTGGAATTTAGTAGAAGTTGAGGGATGTTTGACTCCATTATCCCAATTTTTATGCCATATGGCACAATATTTACTAAAGCTTGGACTTAAAAATGCCTTACAAACCCATAAGCTTCCTCTAGAAAATTTAGAAACCAAAAGCCATTCCTCTACATCCTTCCTCTTTACTCAAGCCGTCCCTTGCACCTTTCCCTCTTTTCCAACCGAGTGTGAAGTGTAGGGACACACTCTCCAGTTAAAATCCCTTTTTGACTTAAACTCCCTAAAACTAATTTCCTTTTTACTCTTTTGAGCTTCTACTAAGAGAGGAGATCTTTTTTTGTAGATTGTAGCATGGAGTAGCCTAGCTACTGACCTTCTTCTTCAACTTCTGCTATTAATTTCTATTATTCTCTTCAATTTGGTGTTTTGCTTTTATGGGTAAGTATGAGTTTTAGCTATAGATTTGGGTCAAAGTTTTGGGTAAATTATAGATTTTGCTATAATATACTAAAAATTAGTTTTAATTAGTGAAATCTGACTCTAAATCTTTTGTTTAAGAGAATTTTGGGTATTAGAATTTTGTCTAGAAATATTTGAATTTTTGGGTATATGTACGGTCTTGAATTAGAAGGGGGTTTTGGTTTTATGCTTGGATCTTGTGTGAATTTTATTGGTTAATTATTTGCTATTATTGTGTTGATATTTCTTTGTACATTTATGTGAAGACTTTTGGAAATTTCATAATAAAGCAAAACTCGTGAATGCTTAATCAGAGTTTGGGTGTTGCTTGTGAATTGTTGCACTTGATTTTTGGTTACTTAATTATGCATCATTAAAATAAGAAATTAAGTTTAACTCTTGTTAGTGAGATTCACAGTTATGCATGAATATGTAAAGTTGATTGCTTTAGAAATGCAACTGATTAAGTGAAATAATAAATGGAATGATATTCGTATAGTATTTTGGATGAGTTTTCAATTTGTTTGACATGTGTATGTGTTTATGGTTATGGAGTAAGTGAACCTAGGCTTAAAGCTTGGGGTATTCAATGGACCTTCTAAGGTATTTAGTGGATCTCTACATAATAGGGTGAGTGTCGTGATTAGCTCCAGTACAAGTGTTGCTAGCACATATCAATGGACTTTATAGCATTGTGTGATTTTTGTTTTATGCATTTTGCTTGTGACATCACATTATGAGCATATGGTTTTATGATATGAATTTGATTTAAGTGTTATTGGCTATTCCTTGACATATTTGATTGTTTGTGAACTAATTTTTGATATTAAATTATTATTTAAATACTAAGATTTATAATATTATATGTCTTGGTTTAATTGTCTATTATGCTCTCCATGTGTGTAGGTTTAAAGGTCTTAGGACCCAAGTTTGTAGCTTTAACTTAAAATTTACTAGGCTTTTAGCTCATGATATTTCCCCCCATTTCAGACTAGTAGATTGGAGTAGCAGTCACCCAACTTGAGAGCTTTTGATATAGGTCCCGTAAAATACCCCAAAATTTTCTAGAATAATTAAGTGTGAGCTAGGGACCTAATTGTGAGAAAGTAATATTGTTGAGCTTAATCATAAAGTTTTCAAATTTGAGGGACTTAAAAGAGAAAAGAATTAGGATAAGGATGGCTAATTTTTTTTCCTTCTTTCTTTCTTCCTCAGCCACGTGTTTCTGCTCTTCTTCTTCTCCCCTGCAGCCGAACAAGAGCCCTAAGCCCGATAGCACCGACCCCTTGAGAAATGGTAAAAACCTTGATTTCTTTCCCTTCTTTTCTTGTTCAAGAACAAGATGTCTGGTCATATGGTTATTAATTTTGGAATATTTTGGTTAGGTTCTTGATTATTCTGTCACCCTAGCACTTGGAATAAGTTTTCTATGTTATACGACTGAGGTAAGTAAATTAAGGTAACGCCCTTCGATTTCAAAGTAAAAGCATATTTTAAATTGTTTTTGAAATGGTGGCAAGGTTTAAATTGATTTTATTAACACCTGAGCATGATTAGAATGGAAATGAAAAATTTTATTATTTTGGGGGTTGAGCATGCCCACATGGAATTTTTTGATTTATCTTGAAATTTGAGATTGATTGTGAATTATGGATTTTTCCTATAAATCCCGCATGGTTTTGTCTCTAATATAGTCATGATTATTGATTACTGACGCCCGCTAGTAGGAGTTCACAAATGCTAGCACATGTCGACATGTATACCGATAGGACCGGTTCATTTTGTAATCTTGCTAATGGGATAACACATTGGTTATTACTGAAACTGATGCCTGCCAGTTAGAGTTGTTAAATATTGGCCATGACTTATAGATGAGACTATTACTGAATCTTATTTAGCATTAACGGTTTATCATTGAACGCTTTGTTTTTGACTTATAGATGAGACTATTACTGAATCCTATTCTGCATTAACGATTTATCATTGAATGTTTTGTTATGTTAAATTGTTTATCAGGCATGCTTAAATTTTACTCATGGGCTACCCATATTTTTACTTACTGAGATATATTATCTCATATTTTCCTTGTCCACCATTTGAGGAAGTGAAACCCGAGGCCAGGTTAACCAGGGGGAGTGATGAGCTAGAAGGCTAGTTAGTATTTTGGACTTAGATCCTTTTTGGACTTAAACCGTTAGCCACACATGCTTGACATAGATATGAACTGATAAATCATTTTTTTTGTATATTGAGTTTCCCTTGGTTATAGCCATGATTGTCTTATAAACTTTTGTACTTTGGACTAGTGAAAATTTTTGGTAATTGAAAGCTAGATATTAACCGAGTTTCTTTGATTTGAGTTATGTAAATTGGTAATTATGAACACAGTAGGTTCCGAGCCTTGTGCATTTGTGGGACCTGTTCACAAGTGCACGGCATCTGTTCCGCTCCTGGTTTTGGGGCATGACAAATTTTGTGATATCAGAGTCTAAGTTTAAATTAAATACCTAGGATTTGTTTAGAACTTAGCTACCCAATGGATTATAGGAACGTGGTGAGGCATGAGAGTGGGGTTGATTAAGGGCACTTGTTTGATTCCTTCTTTAATGTGTGTTGGATTTTGATTATTAAGTTTTGGTCCCGGAAGTGGAAACTTGCCGGGAAATTCTAATTTGGGGCACTTGATTAATAATCTATGAACCTTCTATGTGGTTATAGATGGCTCCAAAACGACGTAAGCACACGAGGGGTGGCCATAAGGATCAGGGCACTCCTCCAATCTTAGCTGCTAGCCCCTCTGCCCAAGCTAAGGGAGGGACAAGTAACCCTTAAATGGCCATTTTTGTTCAGGAATTTATGGCAGAGATGAGACGCCAAGCATCTTCTGCCACAAGTGTGCCACCTCCATCCCTATTGATTTCCACTCTTACGGCCCTTGCTCCTATTTCTCCTACTCCTATATCTTCTACTCCTGTTGTGCCTAGCTGAAAAGTCTATATAGAATTCCAGAAGGTGGTGACCATGAAATTTGATGGTACCGCGGGTTTTGAGCAGATGGGATCATGGATTACCGAGGTGGAGAGGGGATTCCGCCTACTGAAGATTTCTAATGATCTTAAGGTCAATGTGGGCAGTTATATGCTTACAGGTGAAGCATTGACTTGGTGGGAGAGTTACTTGAAGCTACACACCAAAAAGAGCTTGAATTGAGCACTTGGGATGATTTTAAAAAGGTGTTCATGCGAGAATATATACCCGACAGTAAAAGGTGTGAGCTGCAAAGGGAATTTGCAGATCTTAAACAAGGGTCACGTACTGTTGAGTAGTGTAAGAAGAAGTTTGACTGTTATCTGCTTTTTGTGGGTAGTCAGGTCAGGGATGAGCAAGCCAAAACTAATAGATTTTTATGGGGCTTGGATCCTGACATCTATCTGGCGGTGAATCAATTCAAACTTGCCACTTATAGAAAGGCGACAGATAGAGCCATAGATCAAGACAAGGCTATGGCTAGAGTCAATACACCAAATCTGCAAAAAGTGGGGTCATCCCTTGGGAAGAGAAAATTTGATGGGAGCCATAGACCCTTTATCTTTACACCGCCTAAGTCTGATATTGGCAAGAGTTCTAAAGAGCTAAGGGTTACCAAGACTGTGAGTCAGGTATCAGCAGCCCAGTGTACTCATCTTACTCCACCTATTTGCCCCACTTGTGGAAGAGTTGGGCACACCCGCGACCAATGTCACATTAATATTGGGGCTTGCTTCAGATGTGGCAAGCAGGGACGTCGAGTTGCTAATTGCCCACAACCGGACCCCAGAGCTCAGAGTACTCAATCCACATCACAGCAAGGTTCTACTAATCAGGGGGCACAAAAACAGAATGTCAGGGTTAGGACAAGACCCCAACAGGCGAAAGTGCACGTGATGACTTACAAGGAAGCTACAGCTATCGACATAATCACGGGTACTTTACCTGTCAATTCTGATTATGCACATGTTTTATTTGATTTAGGTGCATCACACTCTTTTATAGCTCGATCTTATGCTTTGAAATGAGTATTACCTATTAATACCTCCGATTTTGAACTACATGTGGACACCCCTTTAGGAGGGGTGATGACTACTAGAGATGTGTGTAGGACTGTAGATATTTATATTGATGGTAGACAATTGAGTGCTAGCCTGTTTATTTTAGATATCTCTAATTTTGACATCATTTCGGGGATGAATTGGTTGTCAAAATATTTTGCCTCTATAGACTGCAACCGTAAATGGGTGATTTTTAATATTCTTGGGGAGCCAGAATTTAATTTCCAAGGCAGCGGTTCCTTTGCTCCACCCATGCTGATATCGACCTTGTAGGCTCAGAAATATCTTATAAATGGTTGCCAGGGTTTCTTAGTTTCTGTCATTGATGCCAGTAGGGTGATGTTGAGAGTAAAAGACATCCCTGTGGTGTGTGAGTTTCCGGATGTATTTTCGAAGGATCTCCCACGTTTACCTCCAGATAAGGAGATTGAATTTGCTATTGATCTTGTTCTTGACATCGGACCTATTTCCAAAGCCCCGTACCGTATGGCCTCTGCGGAGTTGAAGGAGGTAAAGGTCCAGCTGGAGGAACTCCTTGAGAAAGGGTTTATACAACCTAATGTGTCACCTTGGGGAGCTCCAATGTTGTTTGTTAAAAAGAAGGATGGGAGCATGAGACTATGCATAGATTACCAAGAACTAAATAAGGTGACTGTGAAGAATCAATATCTACTTCCTAGAATTGATGACTTGTTTGATCAGCTTAAGGGTGCCCAACTGTTTTCTAAGATTGATCTCTGATCTAACTACCATCAGTTGAAGATTAAACTTGATGATGTGCCAAAGACTACCTTTCGTACCCGCTATGGTCATTATGAATTCCTGGTTATGCCTTTTGGCTTAACAAATGCCCCTGTAAGACATATGGATTTGATGAATCGAGTATTTAGCAAGTACCTAGATAAGTTTGTGGTTGTCTTTATTGACGACTTTTGATTTACTCTTCTAGCCATGCTCTTCATGAAAAGCATTTAAGGACAGTTCTCGAGACATTAAGAAGTGAAAGGCTGTTTGCTAAATTTATGAAGTACGAATTTTGGCTAGATAATGTTGCATTCCTAGGTCATGTTGTGACTAAGGATGGAATCTCCATTGACCCCCAGAAGATTGAGGTCGTGGTGGATTGGAAAAGGCCGAATAGTGTTGCAGAAGTCCGTAGTTTTCTGGGATTGGCTGGTTATTACTGCCGATTTGTCTCTAGAATTGCTCTGCCAATGACCCGTCTGATTAGGAAGAACACCAAATTTGAGTGGACTCCAGAGTGTGAGAAGAGTTTTTCGAGCCTTAAAGAGAAACTGGTCACTGTTCCTGTACTCGCACTTCCCATCAATGGGGAATGATTCACTATATATAGTGCTACCTCTAAAAAGGGTTTGGGATATGTCTTGATGCAGAAAGATAAGGTTATTACATATAGGTTATTACATATGCTTCACGGTAGTTAAAGCCTTATGAAGAAAATTACTCTACCCATGATTTGGAGTTGGCAACTGTGATATTTGCACTCAAGATCTGGTGGCATTATCTATACGGTGAGACTTGTGAAATTTTCATCGATCGTAAGAGTCTCAAGTATATTTTCATGCAAATGGAGATTAACATGAGGCTGAGGCAATGGCTTGAACTTTTGAAAGATTATGACTTAATCATTAGCTACCATCCAAACAAAGCCAACAAAGTAACAGATGCGTTGAGTAGGAAGCCCCCTGGCACTACTTCTAGCATCCTTACCCCCCAGAAGGAGTTACTTGAGGATCTTGTGAAATTGGATGTGGAATTGAGAATGAACAGTACTACAGCTTATCTAGCTGCTCTTAGTGCACAACCGGCATTAATTGATAAAATTAAAATTGCCCAACACAAAAAGATCCTTTCTTGCAAAGGTTGAAGGAAAAAGTAAAGATGGGGGAACCCCACATGCAAGAATTTAGAGTTTCTGACAATGAGACTTTGTGGTTTGGTGACAAGCTGTGTGTACCAAGAGATCATGCTTTAAGGCGTGAGATTATGGGAGATGCCCATAATACTAGTTACACAATTCACCCAGGTAGCACCAAGATGTATTGTGACTTGCGTAGTACATTTTGGTGGCAGAATATGAAGAGGGAGATAGATAGATTTGTCTCACAATGCCTGACATGCCAGAAAGTCAAGGCTGAACACCAAAGACTTCTTAGGAGGCTATAGCCATTACCTATTCCCCAATGGAAGTGGGAGAATATCATCATGGACTTTGTGATGAGTTTATCGCAAACCTTAAAGGGAAAAGATTTCATCTGGGTCATCATTGATCAATTGACCAAGTCAGCACATTTCTTACCTTACTAAACTGGCGCATCCATTAAGAAGCTTGCCAATATGTACATGAATGAGATAGTCAGGCTGCATGGAATTCTTGTGTCTATTATGTCAGATAGAGATACAAGATTCTTATCTCATTTCTAGACAAACTTGCTGTAAGCACTTGGTACTCAATTAAATTTTAGCACGGCCTTCCATCCTCAAACTGACGAGCAATTTGAGAGAACTATTTAGATACTTGAGGACATGTTGAGGGCTTGCGTTCTAGATTGGAAGGGTTCATGGGATCAGCACTTATCCATGGCTGAATTTGCCTATAATAATAGTTACCAGTCCAGCATCCGCATGGCACCATTTGAGGCTTTGTATGGTCGAAGGTGTAAATCACCTGTTTGCTGGGCAGAGGTAGGCAAGAGAAGCATTCTGGGCCCAAAATTGGTGCAACAGTCTTCTGAGATTGTGCAATTGATCAAGGAACACCTTTGTGCTGCACATAGCAGGTAGAAAAGCTATGCGGATAGAAGGAGACGAGACCTTGAGTTTGAAGTCGGTGACCATGTATTTTTGAAGGTGTCACCCACTCGAGGTGTCCTTAAGTTTGGCATCCAGGGAAAATTGAGTCCGAGGTATATTGGACCATATCCTATCCTAGAAAGGGTTGGCGAGGTAGCTTACCAATTGGAGTTGCCTAGAAACTTAGCAGGTGTTCATGATGTATTCCATGTGTCTTTACTTCGGAAGCATATTCCCAACCTGAGCCACATCATTGATCTCGAACCCATTCAGCTTCGAGAAGATCTCACTTATGATGAGCACCCGATCTGTATTTTAAACTTCAAGGAGAGGATAATGCGGAGAGCGACCATTCATTTTGTTAAGGTCCTCTAGGATAACCATTCGATTGAAGAAGCTACTTGGGAGTTGGAATCCAAGATGAGGCAAGAACATCCACACCTCTTCCAAGATTGAGATATGAGTTTAGGGAACTAAAATCCTTCTTAGGAGGGGTGGATGTAATACCCCCAAAAATTTCTAGAACAATTAAGTGTGAGCTAAGGACCTAATTGTAAGAAAATAATATTGTTGAGCTTAATCATAAAGTTTTCAAATTTGAGGGACTTAAAAGAGAAAAGAATTAGGATAGGGATGGCTGATTTTTTTTCCTTCTTTCTTTCTTCCTCAGCTGCGTGTTTTCGCTCTTCTTCTTTTCCCCTACAGCCGAACAAGAGCCCCAAGCCCGACGGCACCCACCCCTTGAGAAACGGTAAAAAGCTTGATTTCTTTCCCTTCTTTTCTTGTTCAAGAACGAGATTTAGACTTAGAAATCTTTCCCTCTACAAAAAATTTCAGATCTACTTTGTTCCTTCCCTTGCTCTTGGTTGTGTGTGGGTGTGAATTTTTCAAGTTTCTGATAAGGAAACAGCCACCAATTCCTCTTTTCTTCCTTGATTTGGCTTGGGTTTACTCTACTTTCTTTTGGTTTCTCCCAATTTCTGGTAGATCCCCTAAGTTCTCTTGCACTTCCCACCGACTTCCCCCAACCCGCAGCTCTGGTTTTGCTTGCTGAATTTTCTGGTATGTGACAGCTTCATCTAGGTCCAAAATTACCCATTAGTTGCTGAATTTATCCATTTATTTGCCGCCTCTGTGCTATCCGGATTTCTGTTGAAATAGGGGATAAATTCCGGTAGCAATTAGAACAAATTTAAGCATTAATTCAAGTAGAATTTATATGATTGAGCATTAATTGGCTGCTATGAGGTTCTAGAGAAAAATCCGCGAAATTAGCTATTGTTTTGCTAAAGCCGGTTCCTCCATGTTGTCTGCGAATTTGGAGAATTTTGTATATGTGTGTTGATGTATATATATATATATAAATGCACAATCTGATTTTTTTTTTTGTGCTCAAATTTCAGATAGAAGAAAAATAAGGATAAATAAATAAATAAGATTTCTTTATGTGATTAATGGCCGGCAACAATAGGAGGGTTTAAATGTTTAGTTTATATTGAGAATAAAATTGAGATGTCCGTTCATATGGTTATTAATTCTGGAATATTTTGTTTAGGTTCTTGATTATTCTATCACCCTAGCACTTGGAGTGAGTTTTCTGTGTTATACAACTAAGGTAAGTAAATTATGATAACACCTTTCGATTTCAAAGTAAAAGCATATTTTAAATGGTTTTTAAGATGGTGGCATGATTTAAATTGATTTTATTAACACATGAGCATGATTAGAATGGAAATGAAAATTTTTATTATTTTGGGGGTTGAGCATGCCCACATGGAGTTGTTAAACACTGACCATGACTTATAGATGAGACTACTACTGAATCTTATTCTGTATTAACGGTTTATCATTGAACGCTTTGTTATTGACTTATAGATGAGACTACTACTGAATCTTACTCTGCATTAACGGTTTATCATTGAACGTTTTGTTATGTTAAATTGTTTATTAGGCATGCTTAAATTTTACTCATGGGCTACCCATATTTTTACTTACTGAGATATTTTATCTCATAGTTTTCCTTGTCCACCATTTTAGGAAGTGAAACCCGAGGCCCGGTTAACCAGGGGGAGTGACGAGCTAGAAGGCTAGTCAGTATTTTAGACTTAGACTGTTAGCCACACATGCTTGACATAGATGTGAATTGATAAATCATTTTTTTTGTATACTGAATTTCCCTTGGTTATAGCCATGACTATCTTATAAACTTTTGTACATTTGGACTAGTAAAAATTTTTGGTAATTGAAAGCTACATATTTACCGAGTTTCTTTGATTTAAGTTATGTAAATTGGTAATTATGAACACAGTAGGTTTCAAGTCTTGTGCATTTGTGGGACCTGTTCACGAGTGTACGGCATCTGTTCCACTCTTGGTTTTGGGGCGTGAAATCTTGTATGCTCGTTGTATGTAAAAGCTAAGACCTTAGTACTTTCGATGTGAAAGCAAATCAATGTGTTATCAAAACAATAGTTCTGCTTTTATTATTATGAAAGTTTTTAAAAAGCATTTGCTCTCATATAATTTGTGTAAATTGCTTTTATGTATACGATATCTAAATTAATAAAAAAAATGGCTCAGCCTATGTTATTTTATAGTTTGAGCTTTATATATATTTTTTAAAATATATTTTACTAAATTAGTTTTCCATTTACAAGTATTCTCCTTTCATTATTTATATTTTATATTATATGTAAACAAGATTCTTTTACAATGACATGTGTTTATATTTTAAAAGTGTTTTATGTCCACTGCATTATTTATTTTCTAAATTTTCTAGTTAAGTTTTCCCATAATGGTACCTAAGGAAAAGGTGTTACACTTCTCATGCACCAGAGAAGTCCAACTACAAATACAATCAACTTCATATATATGATGCATATTTGAAGTTGGACTTCAACACATATATGCCTGTGGGAAGTCTAACTTCAAGTCAACTTTAAGTTGGACTTACTTCAAGTTAACTTGAAGTTGGACTTCAACATATATATGCATGAGAAGTCTAACTTTCCAATATGTAAACCAAGTCAAATTTGAAGTTGGATTTCTTATGCACATATTAAGCTTGAAAAAGTTCCTTTTAGTAAGTTCTTCATTTTTTAGTGATACCCACCTTGTGTTTCCTATCATTGGGGTTAAGCCCCAAAAATTAATTCTAGTGTCAAGATACATATTGAATGCAAGGGGTGTTTGGTTTAATTTTTCAAGAGACGCATTTTATTTTTATTTTTTTAGGATTTTTTAAAGATATCTTGTAATGGGAAAGATGAAAATTAGGATGTTTTGATATTAAAAATGTCAACGTGCAATAATAGACCCATGATGAATTTGATAAAATTAAGATCCATACTATATTTTATGTATTTAATAACTGTGATTAAATATCTTAATATTTTTAACGTTAGAACATTGTGATTTTCCCTTTTCACTTTTGTAATTTATACACTTTAAAACTATAATAAAGAAAAATGGTTTCTTCAACTTAAACATTAAGGCACATGACAATGATGTATTTATCATACCTTCAAAATTAGATTTGAAACATAAAAATCAATGTTCTTCTTCCCCTCCCCTTTCTCCATTAAAAAACCCTCATCATTGAAAACCCTATCTATTATTAGAAGAAGAATACATATCCCATTTAAATGCAAAACCACCTTCCTTCTTCTTCTTTTTTCTCTCCTTTGGTCTCTTCTATAATACAAAACACAAATTTCTCTCTTGAAGGCCTATGGTATGCAATTTCTCTAGAAAAAAAAAATCCAAGGAAGCCACCATTAAAAAAAAAAAAAAAGAGGCCTTTTTTTATCATTTATTTTGACTAGATTAGTGGTAATTTTAACCAAATAAAAAGTAATTTGATCAAATATATTGATCTAATTGTTCTTCCAAATGTACTCTATATGAAATAATAGTTTAGATATAATTTCTTTTTGATCAAAAAACTCAAGTAATTTGGTCAAACAATTGACCAAAATAATGCATAGGGCAAAGCACATGAAGGCAAATATTTGGACATATTTGTTAACTGAATTATATTTATTATTATTTTAACCATCTATTTTGGTCAATAATATTGATCGAAATTAGTGTATTAAAACTAGATATAACATATATTTTTAAAATTTTCTTAAATATTAGTTCGATCAAATATTTTGACTGAATTATATGACATTTAAATTTGTGGCAGGTTTTTAGAAAATTTTGGGAAATTTATTTTGGTAGATAGTTTTGAAGAAAATAAACCTAATATTTTGGAAATATTATTTTGGTCAAATAATTTGATTGAAATAAATTTCCAATATGCAAAAATATATATAATAATTTCCTTAATTATAATTTATATAAATTTTATGATATACAAGATAATGCATATACATTCTCTTTTTTTTTTTTTTTTTTTTTGTTATGAATATATATTTCTTATTTATAAATAAAATAATACAAACGATTTGTTGATCCAAGTTAAAAGAGCTCAGTTCCCTTTAAGTAAAGTTCGAGTTCGAGTCTTGTAAATAAAAAAATAGGCGCTAAGGGACCTTCCCCCTTATGGGGTCTGATGTTGCTCAATTTTAAATTAATCAGGATCTAATGTGGTTATCGAATATCGAGGATATTAATACCCAAAAAAATTTTATAAATAAACTAATTAACTAAAATTTATAATTAAAGTCATAAAAATATAAAAATAAAAATTAGTTAGTAAAAAACATCATACCTCTTTTATTTTGCCGTGAATATATATTTTCTTAAAAAAGCCAACACACAAAGGAGTCAAAGGGTGTGTTTGGGATTGCAGTTAGGGGCTTTTTCGTGTAACCTTACAATACTTTTAGATATATGTGTGTTTGGTAATTTTTTTCAGACTGCTTTTTCTAAAAGTTGTAAAAGGCCATAGCAGATCTATAACAATTTTATATATAAAGTCAAAAGCCTCATTTTGAAACTTTTTTATTGTGGTTTTTACGAAAAACACTTAATATTTAATATAATTGTAAAATTATCCATTAAAACCTAATTTCACATAATTTAATTATATTATAATTTTTAATATTTTAATAATGATAACATATTTAAAAAACCTAAATTATTAAAAAAATAAATATTATTTATTTTAATAATTATATATTTTACAATATTTTTTAAGTTTTAATTAATAATTAATAAATTTTATTATATTTCGTTTGTAATACTTTTAAGAAATAAAAAACCAAACACCAAAATAGCTTTCAGCCACAACTATAGCACAACATAACATAATTCAGTACAGCCACAGCTACAACCACAACACTTCACAGCAATCCCAAACGCACCCATAATTTTGCTATTTTGGTCATACATTTTGCCCAAACAAAATAATTGAAATTCTTGCAACATTCTCTCAAGAAAATTAATAGTATTTTGGTCAAATAAATTGACCAATAACTTCATGCATCTTCAAAAAAAATTGTCACGCCCCAGAACCCAAATCCGAGGCGCGACAGACGCCGTGCACTCGTGAGACGGGTCCCACAAGTGCACAAGGCTCGGAACTTATTCAAATCACAATCGGATACCACAAAATCTCAAGATAAAATCTTTACAGTCTGCTCTGATATCAAAAATCTCCACATACACTCTAACTCTTAAGATCACGATCTACATCTCAAATCTATATTCACTTTACAAGATGGCTAGCCTTCTAACTCGTCACTCCCCTTGGTTTTCCCCGTCCTCGGTTTTGCTTCCTAAAATGGTGGACAAGGAAAACTATGAGATAACTCAGTAAGTAAATATGGATAACCCTTGGGTAAAACTTTTAACATGCCAGATAAACCATGTAAACATAGCAAAACTTTCATTGATAAACCGTTAATGCGGAAATCAAGTTCAGTTCAATAGCAAAATGTTCAATGACAAAACCGTTACTGCAGAATCAGATTCAGTTCAATAACAAAACATCTCATAACAAACCGTTAATGCTGAAGAAAACTCAGTTCAGTAGTCTCATCTATAAGTCATGGCCAGTGTTATAACAACCCACTGGCGGGCGACAGAAATTTGCCAATGTATTCGCCCAGTGGCAAGCGTCAGAATAAACCAGTCATCAGTAAACATGTCGACATGTGCTAGCGTTACACCCACTAGCGGGGATCAGGGATGCTACACACCCACTAGCGGGGATTAAGAGTGCTAGTGCTACACCCACTAGCGGGGATTGGAAGTCATGACCATATCAGAGACAAAACCATGCAGGATTCACAATCAAAATCCGTAATTCATAATCGAAACCCCAAATTCCAGAAATAACTAGAAAATTCCATGTGGGCATGGGTTTAACCAGAAAATCATAATTTACAAAATTTCTCAAATCATCAAAGCAGGATCATCAATAACATATCCACATCGGAGACAAAACAGGTAGAAATTAACAGAAAAATCTTCATTCACCAATCGCTTTCAAATCATCAGGACAATCACTTAAAGTCCAAGTAGGCATCCTCAAATCAATACAAAAGACTAATACTCTTATTTTAAATCAGTCATGCTCATTTTCAGAAAACCAGGAAATTCTCATTTAAAATCATCAAAACTCTCATTTCAGTTTAATCACATTCAGATCCTGATAAAATCAATTTAAAATCAATTTAAACCTTGCCACCATCTCAAAATAGTTTAAATCATGCTTTCAAATCGAAGGGCTTTACCATAATTTACTTACCTCACTCGCACAGAACAAAAGGCTAACCCAAGTGCTACGGTGACAGAATGATCAAAACCTAATCACAATATTCCAAGAATTAATATCGCACTACCATAAATTCAAACTGAAATCATCATCAACACTACCCCCAATCACAGTGCTATTTCTATCAATCTCCACATAACCCAACATCTCCAATTTCATTCTTATATCACAAACTAAACCTTTAAATCCCCGTTAATCATTAACCCTCGGTGTGTGAACAGTACCCATGAACAGTGCTCACGACGTGAACAGTAACTCTAACTTCCAAACATTGGCCAAAACCCTAGCTAATTCACGGGATTTTCTCCAAAAATCACCCAACAGACAATTAACACTCAATCATATAAATCCCACTTGAATTAAGTTAAATCATGGTCTAATTACTATCAATTTTCTCCCCTATTTCCAGCAGATTTTCGGACACACAAATCAGCAAATAAATGGACAAATTCGGGGCTTGGAGGGGCTGTCAACATACCAGAAAATCCAGCTGCAGAACCGGACTTGGAAGGGAGAAGAAGCCGGCGGCATCTGCAGGGGAAACTCACGGAAACTACCCAAAATTCAAGAACCACAACCAAAAATTAGAGTAACCCAAGTTAAATCAAGGCTAAGGAGATGATTTCTTGGCTGTGGCTTACCAGAAAAAGTCGAAGGATTCAAACCCAGCAGAACCCGACGGACAAGGGAGGAAGAAGTAGAGCAGACCGGGATTTTCTGGGTTGAGGGAGAAGATTCTAAGCCCCAAATCTTGTGATTGAACAAGAAAGAAGGAGAATTTCAAGCCCCTTTTTCGGTTTTCAAAGGAGAGGAAGTCGGTGGCTTTGGGGGGGTTTGTCGGGCTGCACAAAGAAGAAGAGCAGAGCAGAAACGTGTATGGCTGGGAAGAAAAGGAATGAAAATATCAGCTGATCCTTATCCTAATTTTCTTTCTTTTTAACCCCTCAACTTTTTTAAAATTTTGCGATTAAGCCCCAAAACAATATTTTCCCTCATATAAGTCCCTTATTTAATGCTAAAATATCCCCAAAATTTTGGGATATTACAAAAATAATTGAAGATTTTTATATATTTGTTTGGTCAAATTTTTTTACCAAAATATATCCAAAACATTATACACACCTAGTTATTTTTTCATTGAAATAAATTATTTTTACATTTTGATCAAAAAGCACAATTGAAATGATCATTGTACATTTTTTGAGTTAGTCCATGAAAACTTGAAAATTTTTTATTTCTTGCTTACACTATTTCGATCATTTCATTTGTCTAAATATAATAATAAAAACTTTTGAATTTCCACCTACTATATTTTGGTCAAATTTTTTGTTCGAATAATATAAAATTCCCCATTAATTATCAACTGAATTAGTTTGAAATGGTTTGAAATGTCTGCCAAATATTTTTTGGTCAATATTTTTGTCCAAATTAGTTTGTAGCCTATATATATGCTTTAAGTCTCATTTGTTTTTCCCACTCTTCTTCCATTCTCTACTTTCCTCATCACTTCTCTATTTCTTTTCACTTCTCTCCCTCATCCTTTTCTCCTACTCACTTGTCTTATCTCCTCTTCCATTTCCTTTCAGTTATCTTCCTCTTCCTTTTCTTGTACTTATTTCTCTTCTATTTTCTTCCCTTTTCCTTTCACTTCCTTTCCCTTCTATACTTTGTAATTACTAATTTCTTTTCTTCCCTACCTTTTCACTTCTAATTGCTATTGGTGATGAGAACCCCAAAGAGTACAATGAGACCCACAACACAACAAGGGATTTTTAAACTCCAGGAAAGCCAAATCAAGATGATTCCCACATGTACCACATCAAGAGATCCATTACACATTCCAAGAGGTCCAGTCACGAGAGCTAGAGCTAGGAAGATGTAAAAAGCTTTAAATGGCTTTATTGAGCAGATCTAGGTTGATAACATGCAACAAGTAAATCGAAGCTTAGATGATTATCAAGACATGGTAAACATCATTCAGGTTCAAGAAAAGCTTAATTGAGGTTATTTATGCTAAATTACATAGTTTACGTCAAAATCCTACAATTCTATTGTAATTTATAACAAACTGATATTTCATGTTACTTTAGGTTACTTTCAGTGATTTTCACATTTTTTGTATTATTTTGGGCTGAACATTCATTTATTTGAGGCCTAATTCAAGGTTCTTAGGAACAGGGCTTAGGGTATTAGTTTTCTATTCTGATTAGAATTACTTTTCCCTATTTAAAGGGCTTGTAACCCTAATTAGGGGGAGTTATTGAATCTGAGTTTTTGAAAGACTTTTCTCTTTGGTTCGTTTCAGAACTTTACAGAACTTATCAAGATTATTCTTATGGCATTTATTCTTATGGCCTTTTAATCTGACTTATCATTCTCGTTCTTAATCGTTTGAGGGTGTGGCGTCAACCAACTTTATACCTTTGGTTCATGTTGCGTCACAGACAACGGGTCAAGGTTTTTACCTTTGATTCTTGTTGCGACATAAACAATGGGTCAAGATCCTATTATAAACCTGATTTGACTTTCCTAAAGTTTAGAAATCCTTTATCGTGCTGTGGGTCTCATTGTTATCTTTGGGGTTCTCATCATCTTGATATCAGAGCATGAGATCTTAAATTAGGTTTGCGTATCTTTAATTTTCAGTTTCTATCGTCAAAAATAAAACAAAAAAAAAAATTAGTGTCATTCTTCTCTTTCTTATTTTACTCTTCTGAATCTATGTTATTGGTTCAAAAAAGAGAGAGAGAGAGAGAGAGAGAGAAAAAGCATGAAAATAAAAAAAAAGGAAGAAGTCGTAAAAAAAAAAAAGACACAAAAAAGAAATAAAAGAAAAAAAGAGAGAGAGAAACAAGCAACAATTATGTGGTGGAATTCCTTATATAGAGGAGAAATCTGTTTGAGTTTTATTCAAACAAAGAGATTGCAAATTTTGTTTATTCCTTCCAAAGTTAGGAATCCTATTGCATTAAGTAATAGTCAAGTTAATTCTTACTAGGAAGTGCTTGAACTAATATGTTCATTTTAATTTGTTTGGGTTTGGTTCTTTTATTGCTTTTCTTGTTCGTTCCTTTATGTCTTTCTATTTTCTTTAACTCTTGTTACAGATTTTTTGGAGTTAGATTGTTGCAAAACAACTTGAATTGAGCTTGTTTAGTTCAATAACGAACTGAAAGAGGAAAGTTGAGTGAGGGGAAAAGGCAAGAGGTGTGAGCAACACTTGAGAGAAAAGCCAAGCTCTATAGTGTGCAAAGCATGAGCGTTGAGTGCCATTCTGTGAGAGAGTGGAGTGAAACACGTAAGGGAGTCTTGTGAGGTCCTTTTATTCTTTTGTTTCTAACATTCGTTGCAGGTTTCAATCATGTCAAGCAATGATGACAAATCAACCACTAGAAGACACCATGTGGATGAATCTTTCATGCTCAAAGCAATGCAACAACAATTTTAGAGGTTGGACATCATGTTTGGTGAGATTAAAGACAAAATGGAGAAGCAAGATGCAGCTATAGCCAATTTATACCAAATACAGAATGGAAGTCTGAATTTGCGTAGGAATGATGTGAATGATGATCTCAATGATGATTATGAAGATGCATTCAACAATGATGCCTAGAACTCAAATTTCAACATGGACAAATTTATGAGAGGTAAAGGGGAACAAAAAGGTAGGTTTAATCAAGGAGAGCAAAATCTAATGAGGTGGGGAGATCGGAAAGATCGTGACTTAGGTAGCATTAAGACGAAGATTCCTCTGTTTCAAGGCAAAAATGATCCATATGTGTATTTGGAGTGGGAAAAGAAGGTGGAATTAGTGTTTGATTGCCATAATTATTCTGAGGAGAAAAAGGTGAAACTAGCAACGGTGGAGTTTACTAATTATACTGTGGTATGGTGGGATCATCTTGTGCTTAGTCAACGTAGAAATTGGGAGCATCCAGTTGACACTTAGGAAGAGATGAAAGCTGTGATAAGAAAACAATTTGTTCCTAGTCACTATTACCGTGATCTTTATCAACGATTGCAAGGCCTTGCTCAAGGGTCCAAAAGTGTTGAGGATTATCACAAAGAGATGGAAATCGCAATGGTTAGAGCGAATGTGGAAGAGGACAAAGAAGTAACTATGGCACGATTTCTACATGGCTTAAATCGTGATATAACTAATGTGGTGGAGTTGCAACATTATGTGGAATTAAAAGATATGGTGCATATGGCAATGAAAGTAGAACGATAACCCAAGCATAAAGGAGCCACCACCAGAACTAAGCAAAATTCAGGTTCCTCATCTTCTTGGAAACTGAATTGGAGCAAAAAGGAAGAAAATTCTGCTTTTAAGCCTAAAACTATAGCATCTAAGTCAAAAGAAGTTGGCAACAATGAGAAAAGTAAAACAAATAATACGCAAGGTAGAAACTGAGACATCAAGTGTTTTTTTATGCTTGGGAATGGGGCATGTTACATCGCAATATCCTAATAAGCACACGATGATCTTGAGAGAAGATGGAGAATTGAAACCAAGGGTGAATCTGATGATGAATCTATGCCACCACTAGAAGATGCTAATGATGGTGTGGAATATGTCGTTGATGGAGAACTGCTCATAACCAGGCAAGCTTTGAATGTGCAAGCCAAAGAAGATGATGAAGTACAATGTGATAATATATTTCACACGAGATGCCATGTCAAAAACAAGGTATGTAGTGTGATTATTGATGGTGGTAGTTGTACTAATGTAGCTAGCACTATTTTGGTTGAAAAGCTTAATTTACCATGACGAAGCATGCAAGGCCATATAAGCTACAATGGTTAAATGATCATGGAGAAATCAAGGTAAATAAGCAAGTTCTGGTATCATTCTCTATTGAACGATATAAGGATGAGGTACTTTGTGACGTGGTTCTTATGCATGTTGGACATTTACTTTTAGGGAGACCATGGCAATATGATAGGAGGGTAACACATGATGGCTTCGAAAATCACTATTCATTTGTCATGGAAGGGAAAACAATTACTCTTGCACCATTGAGTCCAAGGCAGGTTTATGTGGATCAACTGAGAGTAAAAAAAGAAAGTGAGCTGAGAAATGAGAGTGAGCTTGAGGGTGTGAAAAACAAAGAGAAAACAACAGAAAAAGAGTCCAAAAAGAGAAAAGATTGAGAGTGTTGAAAACAAAGAGAGAAAATCAGTGAATGTTTATGCAAAAGAAAGTGATGTCAAAGCAACGTTCTGCAAAGCAACCTATGTTTGTGCTTTTATATAAAGATACTTATTTCAACACTAATGAACTTAATGATTCTTTACCTAATGTTGTTAAATAATGGTTTACTACCAATAAGAGAAATTGGGCATCAGATTGACTTCATTCTGGTGCAACAATTCCAAACTGACTAGCATATTGAAGCAACCCCAATGAGACGAAAGAACCTCAAAAGCAGGTTCAAGAGCTCATGAAGAAGGGACATGTGAGAGAAAGCACGAGTCCATGTGCAGTTCCAATGCTACTTTTGCTTAAGAAGGATGGGACTTGGCGTATGTGCGTTAATTGTCGCGCTATCAACAAAATCACTATAAAGTATCGTCAACCTATTCTTAGATTAGATGACATGTTAGATGAACTGCATGGTTTTTGCATATTCACTAAAATTGATTTAAATAGTGGGTATCATCAGACTAGGATGAAGGAAGGTGATGAATGGAAAACAACCTTTAAAATGAAACATGATTTATATGAGTGGTTAGTTATGCCATTTGGATTAACTAATGCGCCTAGTACATTCATGTAATTAATAAATCATGTTTTGTGTGCTTTAATTGGCAAATTTTTAGTTGTTTATTTTGATGACATTCTAATATATAGTAAGAG